ATGCTCTCGTTCTCTCTCTCTCTCATTCTCTCTCTATTTTGAAGTATTTCTTCTAACTGTATTAGTTTATCAATCTGTTATTTGTCCATAATGTCTGTGTTCTATTGTTCTTGCCTGACTGAACAACAGGCTTGATATCACTGGCAGTGTGTTGTAATCACATGCCACTGCAGACATCAAGATGTCAGAATCGATTAAGCACTTGTCCTTATTCTTATTAATGCACAATTTGATGTGCAGTTTGAATTGGTATATAGAATTTGTAATTTGCATTTGATTAATTTGACGTGTGCGCATGTTGTTTGATTGATTGTTTGATTACAGTATTTCACTTAAAATGGTGTTGTTTGACTAAATAAATGTGACCATTGACTTTTAAATAACGTCTGCATATCACGTTGTGTTGACTTAACAGGCCTAATCCATTTCAGGGAAGTTGATATCATACAAAGTCATTTGGCTAGTACTACTACAATGGGACATGATGCAATTTCAAGTTTATAATTGTGTATCTTCAATTTGATGTTACAATTTCATTTACAAACTACACTGTAAAAAAAAATCCATAAAAAAACGGATAATGTACTGGCAGTGACACTTCCATTAATCCTAAAGCGGAAAATTCTGTAGATTAACAGTGTGTCTTCTGTACCATTCACAGACACTTCCATAAATCCGAAAGCGGAAAATTCTGTAGATTTACAGTATGTCTTCTGTACCATTCAGACACTTCCGTAAATCCTAAAACGGAAAATTCTGTAGATTAACAGTGACACTTCCATTAATCCTAAAGCGGAAAATTCTGTAGATTAACAGTGTGTCTTCTGTACCATTCACAGACACTTCCATTAATCCTAAAGTGGAAAATTTAGCAGATTTAGTGTTTCTTCTGTACCATTCACAGACACTTCCATAAATCCTAAAGCGGAAAATTCTCTAGATTTACAGTATATCATCTGTACCATTCACAGACGTCAATCTTTAAGCCAAAGTTTTTAATGATGAAATAAGTCACCATTGTCAAGTTGAAATGCAAAGCTATTAACCTACTGTATATTTGCTGGTGAATACATATTCTCTTCCACTCTTAAAACAATGCTAAAACACAATAAATTAACAATATATGAATCACATTTGAATGTATAAACACATAATACAACCACATTATCAAATAAATCCAACACGATATATACAAAGTAACAAGTTTATTTCTTCAGGGAAACTTTTTTCAAGTAAACATCTGTAACTCATTAAACATATTGCACATAAAAAATGCCACAGTAACGCCACATAACATATTGACAATGCAAAGCACCACTAGAAGCATTAAAACAACAAACTAAACCAGTCGATTTAACTAGCTTTGAACTCAAATTTTCCACTGACTTTCAAAATTATTCAGTTCGTAGAGGAATTTCAGCAGTCTAGGTGGAATGTGCTGCTGCTTTGTTCCCTTTTTTTCTGACTTTGTTCCTCGTTCGGGATTTATTCCAATGAGAACTCTGCAAAAAATAGAAAAAAAAATAACTAAACACAATTAAATTAATGATCTTGAACTACGTAGTAGCATACAGACTAATATGAGATGTAAAAGTACTCATCTACTTCATGACAATTGGAATTAGGGCTGCAATAATTAGTCAACACAATTAACCATATTAATTCTAAAAATTGTTGTATTATAAAAACAAATTATCCATTTTCAGGGCCACAGCACCATAAGTCACCACAGTATCTCCGTCAGTGTTCATGTATAACTGTAACGCAGTGCA